ATTAATATCTGTTTCACCCCATAGAGGCAAATCCTGAGAAACAGAACTCATGCCTATTTTGGTCCCCATTCTACAGTCTTCCCTAAGTTACAATAGATGCTCAGTGAATTTTGTTGACTGATTGGATGGAGAAAGGCCACTCTACCTGAGATTCCTCTCCAAGTCACTGGGCTCCCATTGATTCTTTATTTGTACCATTCTTACAGCCTTTTTCTTATCCTATCTTGTATTAGAGTTATTCCTGTACAAATCTTATCTCCTGCACCAGCAAACCAGCTCTTTATTGGTCATAACCTTGACTCATTTACCTCTGAACCCTTCTTTGTGTCTGCCAAAATGCCCTACAGGTAGGAAGCACTTGACAGGCATTTACTGAGTTCAACTAATTTTGGTGGAAACTGAAGTCTCTCCAGTCTTTAAGGGAATGTAGTGTGCTCCACCTTCTCCAAAATCTGATCCACAAACTGCAGGTTGGAAATTAAACCTCAATAAAGAGTCATGTCTTGCGACTCTCTGTTTCATGTATCAGGAAATCAATCCACGCCTAAGGGTAAAAGTATTGCTCTAATTCCATAGGGGTAATAGAAACATAAGTAAATAAATTTAACCCTCTTTATCTAATCCAGTGAATCAACAGAAGCTGATTACAGTGCTGTGTCAAGTTGGATCCTTCAGGCTGGAATCCATCATTGGTTAGTAATGTCTGCATGGGCATGGGAAGGGAAATTGATTAGTAATGTCTGCCTGGGCACAGGAAGGGGGAGTTGCAGTACATACGCCAGGTACCTGCCCTCCCTCACTTGGAGAGAGTGACCAGCACAGTGCATAGTCACAGTCAAGCAGATAGTCCAAACAATGGACACTGGGAGATGCAGAGAAGGGGGAGGTCACTACAGACCGACATGGTCAAGGAGGGCATCATTAGGACGAAAGAGAGGAGGTGGAAACTGAAGGAAAGGTGAGGTTCAAGTAAGCACTAAAGATGGATGCAGGGAAAAGGCGTTCCAGGATGAAGTACTGAGTGAGGTTGAGACACAGAGCTGGGCGTGCAGAAGGAATCTCCAGGGAACAGTGAGGAGCCCAGTTTGGGAAGGACACTTCTGGACTGAGATTAGTGAAGGATGTGGTTGAAAGGCCTTGTGTGTCAGACTACATCACTGGTGACAGGAAGCCACAAAAAGCTTGTGCAAAAGGGAATGACGCCCAGGATAAAGCACAAAAGGTTAAGTAAGCTGGTTCCCATGACCCATTTCACTATCAGCAGAGTCAGGCCTTAAGTAGAAGTTCCAAAGACTCATCTAATATTTATCACCCTTTCACTCCCAATCCAGTACTAGTGCTACCAGATGACGCTTTCCCAGAGCTTAGAAATAAGCTGCCCAGGTCAGTTTCTGGAGCAGGAATCTGAGATATGTGGGAGAAGAATCTTCTCACACTTTACCCGACTTCCCCTGTTTCCTTTTTCTCCAGATGACCCTGGGACTCCACGATCACCCTAGAAAAAGACAAAGAAATACAAAAAGAATCTGTATTACATAAGTCACACACACCAGGAAATTTTTTCACATAGTTTCACATTCTAGCCAAGAGTAGAAAGTTCTAAATCTGACTATGTGGCAGACTAGCTGCCCTGAACAATCTTCTCTTCAAAAAACAATTTAAAATCCAAATAACAAATTAAATTACATCTTACATGCATCCATGAGCTGATAAAGAAAAAGAGAGATGCTTAGAGTTTAGACAAAGAGAAAGCAGAATCTAGAAGAGTCATAGCTATTGGCTGCCGGAGGACTCCTGATCACTCTGGACATGTGTGGTGTGAAAACCCACAAGGTGATCACTTATTTTAAAGTGGTCCCAGGAGGTAGTGCCACCAAGTATGTGGCAGAAGCAAACAACCGCCACTCAGTGGCTTCTCACAGACAAAGTTCCATCAAAAATGAGTGTCAATCAAAAATTACAACACATAGGAGGTAGACACCATGAGGGAGAAGCCAGCAGATCCAACAGACAACAAATTAGACTTATAATGACTATAGATGTTGGAATTATCGCAATGTAAAATAAATATCTTTAATCATTTAAATAACCCAAAAAATGAGCTAAGGAAAAAAAAAGCATCTATATTTTAAAAAAGGGTAGGGGGCAAGCAGATTTGAGAAAGAATCAAACAGAACTTCTTGAAGTGAGATTAGAATAAATGAAATCAAAACTCCTATCAGCAGGTTAATGGTACATTAAACATTTAACATAAGGATTGGTGAACTAGAAACTGAAGAAGTTATTCCGAATGCAGCACAGAAA